AGGGTGAGCATCACAGAATTCCAGAATGTTAGAACAAAGTGTTCAAGACTTAATAATTCCGCACCGCTGCCACCTACCCTGTGATGTGCGGTTCTGGTCCACAGAGCAGGAGGCAATGGGGAGCCTCCGCGGCTTGCACCTGGTGGCGGGGAGTTGCTTTAGAGTATGTGAAAGAGATGTTTCCTCATCCCTAAGCCTCACCAGAACCTCTGCTTTGAAGAGAACAAATGGATTTTGCACCAAACCACAAGGACGTCCCAAAGCCCCATGCCACGTCTACAGCCATGGGGTGCCGTTACACAAGCCTACAGACTGGGAGAAGAAGATCCTGATCTGGTCGGGCCGCTTCAAGAAGGAAGAGGAGATCCCCGAGACGATCTCGTTTGGGATGCTGGATGCCGCAAAGAACAGGATCCGGGTGAAGATCAGCTATCTGATGATGACCTTGACCGTGGCTGGATGCATTTTCATGGTGACGGAGGGCAAGAAGGCCGCCAGAAGAAATGAGTCGTTAACAAGCCTGAACTTAGAAAAGAAAGCTCGTCTGAGAGAGGAGGCACTGAGAGAAGCAGCGACTTCGAAGGCCAAGGCCAAGTAACCAAGATGTCCTTAGTGGCTGACTTTTAGAACCCAGGAGTAAACTTGCAGCCACAATGCCTGCATTGACAAGCGTATAGCACGAGGATGCATTTCTCAGAAGGGCTGTTTGCACAAACGTATGTGCCCCTTTCTGCTCTAGAGGTACAAATAAATTCTCTTTACAAATAAAAAAAAGAGAGAGAGACTTATTTTCATTAAATTAAAAAAAGAAAGTTCTCTCTCTCTCACCTACACTCATTGAGGACTAGCATTGGTTGAGCACCTAGCCCAGTGTCTTACAGGTGGATGGTAATAAATGTTTGATGAGTGAATAAGTGACCCACCGAGTGGATCAACAGAAACAGCGGCTTTGACCATTTTCATTCTACCCTCTCTTTTCATCACCTAGCAAAGTTACAAGAGGGGCCCTGGTGGTGTAGGGGTTACACGTTGGATGACTAACCTCCCGGTCCGCAGAGAAACCACCAGCCATTCCTCAGACAGAAAGGGAGGCATTCTGCTCTCGTAGAGTTCGTCTCCGAAACCCCCGGGGGCAGTTCTACTCTGTCCTGTGGGGTCGCTAGGAGTCGGCGTCGCCTCGATGGCAGTGAGTTTCTCTGTTAGTTTTGAGCAAGGTTAGAAAGCAAACCAACCAACCAGTAACCATCAAGTAGATTCCAACTCATGGAAAGCCTGTGTGGGTCCCAATAGAACTGTGCGCCCCAGGGGTCCCAAAGCCTGATGCTTCCGTTGGAGATTAACAGACCCCTTTCCGATGGTGCAGCCGAGGGCTAAACCGTATGTCACACGCAGAGACTCCTAAGATGCCATTTAATGGCCTCCTTCTGGAAAGGCCTGTGTGAGCAGTCACTCAAAGGAGGTATCTAAAGTGATCCGGTACATTTTTATTATCTGTAAAATACAGGGAGGAGCCTGATGCCTTAGTTAGGGTTCAGCTGCTAACCAAAAGGTTGATGGTTCAAATCCACCAGCCACTCCATGGGCGAAAGATAAGGCAGTCCACCTCTATAAGCATGATAGCCTTAGGAACCCTATGGGACAGTTCTACTCTGTAATGTAAGGGCACTGTGAGAAGGAATTAACTCACTGGTGATGGGTTGGTTGGGTGGTTGGGTGGTTGGGTGGTTGGGTGGTTGGTTGGCTAGTCAGTAGGTACATAATGGAGTCTAGTATTCAGAAATAATCTTGCTTTCTCATGGACTCCGTCTTCAAGGCCTGGTCGTGGCTGAGGCGTCTGAGCTCCACTCCATGTTGTACAACTGAACTCCAACAGCTGTTGATATTCTTAACCCAATAACTTTTACAAATGGCCCTAAGCAAACATTGTAGAAGGCCCTGGGGAAGGAAAATATTTGATATTTGACCTCAAGATTTTCTAGAACCAGGACATTCTCTCCATTTCTCAAGACTTTGGTTCCTTGTTTGGGAAACTGCTTTCTTATCACTAAATGTTGGCCGTGAATGTTTCTTACAAAAAAGGGAACAGTCCATTGGAGGCAAGTTAGTCAGCACTCACATCCTTGATATTATTATTATTGGGTTCCACAGAGTGGATGGTCATGTAGTTATATGCAAAGAAGCTTTTGCTACTTGATGATGTTTATGACCATGACCAGGAGGAGAGGTGATAGAGGGCACTTCGAGCTTGAATTGGGTATCACAGAGTCAGCCAGTGGCTTTAAAAGAGCATCTGGACTTGGGTGCCATGGTCTCACTAAGGACAGATGGAGTGAGGTTGTTGCTCTTGCTAGGTACCGTTGAGTCTGTTCTGACTCACAGCAACCCTGTGTCCAGCAGAACCAAACCACTGCCCGGTTCTGTGCCATCCTCCCACTTCGTATGTTTGGACCCATTGTTGCCGTCACTGTGTCAATCCATCTTGTCGAGGGTCTGCCTCCACTTTACCAAGCGTGACGTCCTTCTCCAGGGACAGGTCTCTTGACAATAAATCCATAAGTCAAAGTCTCACTATCCCTGCCTCTAAGGAGCACTCTGGCTGTACTTCTTCCAAGACAGACCTGTTTGTTCTTTCGGCAGTCCTTGGTACTTTCGATATCCTTCGCCAGTACCCTAGTTTACCCATCCATGTACCCATCCATGGATTCTTCTTCGGTCTTCCTTTCTCAATGCCCAACTTTCACATGCATACGAGGCGATTCGAAACACCATGGCTTGGGTCAGGTGCACCTTAGTCACCAAAGTAACATCCTTGGGTCAGTTGTTGTCAAGTTAATTGCACGTGTGCAGGAGTAGAACTATGCTGTGGGCTCTTCTAGCCTGTGGCGTTTGGGGAGCAGATTACCAGGCCAGTTTCCCAAAGCACCTCCCGGTGGGTCCCCACACCAGCCTTTCAGCCTGAGCTCAATGGTGCGATTTTCTGGCTCAGCATGCTTTCTTCCTGCGTTTTTTCAGAACAACACTGCCACCTCTTGGCTTTCAGAAGAGCCAGTTTCCCTCATTAAAACAACATATGTCATTTACACACTAAGGAGCCCTGATGGCCCAATACTGAGTCCTAGGGGTAGCGCAGGTTAAGTGTTGGGCTGCTAGCCAGAAGGTGGGAGGTCCGAACCCCCAGCTGCTCTGTGGGTGGGAGGGGCAGGGGGAAATATGTCTGCTTGCTTCCATAAAGATTACTCCCCTTACAGATGACAGTGGAAGCCCAAAATCCACTTGCAGTGCCCACACATGGACTAAGCCCCAATGAATCCCCGACATGTGTTGAGGTTTTTCATATATTCTGCTTTCGTTTCTGTTAAGGTTCGTGTCTGTTTTACTTTGTTATCACCGTTAAGGGTTTTTTGGTTTTGTTTTGTTTTTTCAAATGTTTTTCGTTTGTGAAATCCAGGCTAGGTAAATCTACAGACAGTAACTGGTTCCTTGGCGGTATGGCAGGGGGCCTGGGGGGGAGTGGGAGCTGATAACAGTGGGTACAAGAACGAAGACGTCTGCTAAAGCTGATCATGGTGATGATGACGCAACTCTCCTTGATGTGTTGGATTGTAGGATATGTGAATTCTATGCCAATACAACGGTTGGGGTGGGGGGAATTACCTTGGGAGTAGGTGGAGAAAAAAATACTATAGCCTTGGAAACCCGGTAAGGCAGTTCTACTCTGACGCATAGGATTCTCCTACATCTACGTACGTCAAAATCAACTCAACAAGTCTAGTGGTTGGGGATCTGTCAGGCAGCGATGAATCAGTGGACCTCTAACTGGAACCTGGTCAGCAGTTTGAACCCCTCGAGGGTTCCACAAGAGCTAAGCCTGGGGATCTACCTCCAGCGAGATACCAGCCTGGGGCTGCTATCTGGGGCAGCTCTGCTTTATCCTGCAGGGTCACTCAACAGTGCACAACCACACAACTTACAAATTCAGTGCAACTGGTTGCATCACCTCAAGTCTATGATGAAGTTAAGGAATTTTCCCAGCAAGAGTGTGTCACAATGACCTCACGGCATCTTCCGGGTGTAGGAAATGTTGCAGGAGCTTCGGTGTTTTCATCGGTGGCTTGGCCAAGGCGAGAAAGCCAAGGCTTAGCCAGAATCAGAAAGGTGCTAAGCGTGCAGCTGGAACAAGTCTTTCCCTCTGCCTGTCCCTTCTCAAATTGACCTTCTGCTCTCCCACCCCACTCTGGGTCTCACTCTCTGCCATCGAGTTGAAGCCAATACACGGCCACCCTAAAGGACAGGGTAGAGCTGCCTCTGTGGGTTTCCGAGGCTGTCGCTCTTCGTGGGAATACGTCTCTTAGTTTCCCAAAGCTCTGTACATGTGTTTGCTGGCCACAACTGGGAGCAAGATGAGGCTCCCAGCACCATTAAAAAAAAAGATGAATTTATTAAAATTTACTAAACTGCCCTACATAAGCATACATAAGTATCTGCCTTGGTTTCTCTGGGTTTATTGTCTTATTTCCCAGTTGTTCACAATGGGTGTCAGGGGAGGAGTCCTGTCCCCCCGATTCCTGACATCTCTGCCAACTTCCTCCCGCACTCCCTGCCCCGCATTTTCCAGGGAAACTGACCTTCCACCACAGGCTAAGGCTGTCAGCTCTCCAGCGAGGCGCTCAAGCTAAGCAGGAAGGGAATAGGTTACCTGTCCTGTGTATCTTTCTTCTGGAATCTGACTACATACCAAAAGCAGTGAGAAAACAGTACTGCACAGGAAAGTTGATTTGTGCATCAAATTGGATGTGGTCTGTGTATATTCACAGAAATTTGTTTTTCTACCCTTAACTTTTTGTTGTGAATTAGCTGAAGGGTTATAGAGCAGGTCAATTTTCCATTCAACAGATTCATACACATTTTGATTCACGACATTGATTGCAAGCCCCACAGTGTAACATCCCTTATCCCGCTTCCATCCCTTCTTCGTCCCGGGGAAATGCTGCCCTTGTGGTCTCACATGCTCGGCTCTTCTATGGAGGGCATACCTTCCCAGCGTTGCTGTTCCCTGTAGAGGGCTCTCTATTGTTGGGCTGAAGATGGAGCCACGGTGGGGTCAGTTCCAGGCTGGAAGGGAGACCAAGAGTCTTGGGAAGGGAGACCAGTCTCTCTCCAACTAGTAAGCCTGGCCTTCTTTGTGATTTTGAGTTTTGTCTCCCAAGCTATTCGGGACTCTATGGTTGGCAGTGGTAGCTGGGCACCATCTAGTTCTTCTCGTCTCGGGTTGTGGAGGATGAGGATCATGCTGCCCAACAGCCCAGTGGATTCATTGTTTCCATGTCTTCTATTTTCTTCCCGCTGCTCTGCTCCAGGTGGGGGAGGCCAATAGCTGTGCCTTAGATGGCCACACATAAGCTTTTGAGACCCCAGCCATGACTCACCCAAGTAGGATTTATTATTTCTTAAACAGTTTTATTGGCACAGCATCCACATATCATACAATTCAAGAGTTCAACCACATTGAGAACAGTTTACCACGATACATTTTAGAATATTTCCCTGTTTGTCTTACTCACTTCCTCCCAACTTCCCATGTCATGCCTGCAAGAAACCATTGGTCCAGTTACTATCTCACTAGAGTTTTCTAGCCTGGGTTTCATATACAGAAAAGCATAAGGGAAAATTACAAACACTAGCAACAATAAGAAATGAAACAGAGAAAAACCTCAACAGAAAATTAAAAAGTACAAAATATTGAAAAACTAGAACAAATTTAAGAAGAATCAAAAGGGAGATCCGACGATAAGGTGTCACATTTTACCGTAACTGCATCTTTAATAATCCACAAAGTAGGGTGGGTAGAACCTTGTGTTTGAGAATTATGTTAGGCCAACTGACCTTGCTGTCTCCCAAGACTGTGATCCTAAACCCATAGGTCCAGCCCTCATTCTCTCAAGATACATGTTTGTACCTAAGATAGTTCCATACCTTTGGGCCCTGTACATGCTACTGGAAAGGATGTTCTACTTGGTAGAGAGTCTTGAAGGAGAGGAAGACCCTCCGAACGGGGGAGTGATGCAGGAGCTGCGACAGTGGGCTGGGGCAGAACACTTGTGACGACAGCACAGGAGTCAGCAGTGTTGTGCAGTGTTGATTTGAGTTGTAAGCTAACTCAACGCCCCCTCACAGCAGCAGCAACATGCTGTACTAGTATTTCATGGAAATATTTGCAGCGTAGGTAAATATGTCTTTTCATTCCATTTTCCTATGACCTTTTAGAAGCCCCCTCATATGTAGAGAAATCCTCTATCAAATATTTTATATATATATATATATA